GCTATTGAAATCTGTTTTCTTTTGTGATATTGTTTAAGCTCTATCTTATGCAGCATACATTAGTAAGTTTAATGATATGGAGGTGTTTACTTTTATCATGTTTATTTTTCAAATAATACTGAACATAATGAATATTTTATTACTTATTGCATTAAAAAGTGTAGGCATACAATACACTTAGTCTCACTATCTATTTGGGTAAATAGTTTAGTACATTGATCCGAAATGATCATAAATGATCATAACATGCATTTCTTTTAACTCAAGTAAACGAATGCTATATTCTATTCTAATGCAATTCGTTTAGAACGATTATTTTCATTGGACTTTGACATATATTTTAAAGGGTTAGATTCCAAGCTCTATTGGTCCGTAACTAAGGAAAGCCAACAAGTTTTAATCCGTTTTTGTTTTGGTATGTCATTTCTCAAAAAAAGTCATAGTTTGTGCCTAAAAATCTTCTTTTTTGTCTATATTTAAACCATTCAGAAGTGTACGAAAAGTATAAATACGTCTTTGTTTGACATCGGGAGTATACCTATGACGTCACATTATTTAGATGCCAAAGACGATGTAACAGTTTCGCGGACTTTTTAGATTATGGCATTATTAAGCCAAAATATTTATGAAAATGGAATTTAATTTAATATGTGACATTAGAATGGAGATAACTGTATTATATATAATAAACCTTATTCTACGCGTCGCTAGGTAAGCATAATTTGCGACAGTAAAATCTACGTTTTTCGAAGGCCAAGCTTAAAATACAATACAGTTATGTCCTAAGTTTGTAGACAATTAATGAACACCGATATTTTATATCCAACCTATTTTTGCAATAGTATTTAGACACCGACTAGGTGTTAAAAATATTCATCTACTGTTTAATTTTGGACTAATAAAACGGTGAACTATAATTGCTTTAATCAACGTCAGTTGAACTCTGATGGATAGCTGTCCCATTAGCAACCATGCTGCATTTCCTTATTTTTTATTATTGAAGAAGGGAAAAACGGTTTGTTGTGAAATAATAGGGCTTAATTGGTTTTTATTTATTATGGCGGAGACGGTGTGGCTTAATACACATTCATCTGTTTACAATTTTATATATAAAAATAAGGAGATGTGAATTGATTGCCGATGAGACAATTATCTACCAGAGTTCAAACGACGAAGATATAAACAATTATAGGTCACCGTACAACCTTCAACAATGAGAAAAACACAGTCAGCTATAAAAAGGCCCCGACATGAAAAATGTGAAACAATTCAAACATGTCAAACGAGAAAATTAAAAGCCTAATTCATAACAATACAATTTACGATAAATATTATGACATGTTTGAGCTAAACTATAATAGTCATGAATTTGTTTCATCTTTTTCTTATCGAAGTTATTTTCACAACTAAACGTTTTATCGTGTTGTTGTTTAAAATATTCAAGAAAAAAAATAGAGACTAATATCAAATTGTCAGAATGAACAATTACCCGATCAGAAGATAATTAAAAGTACTTTGAGTCTACTTAATAAGTAACCATAAGTATCCTTTACTACGGTGTTATTTAATCTTATTTGTTACAATAGTCAACGACTACATATATTGATAACTATGTGCCCTTTTATTGTATGTTCTTTATTCTACGTTGTTCTGTATAGAAATCAGGAGAATGATGCAGTATTATTGCCATCAAGAAATCTATCGACCAAAGACAAAAGGAAGAGGATGTACACAACAGGTATGTTATTCTTTTTTTGTTGTTTTAATGATAGAGTTTAACAGGAGTTTCAAATGACTTATTACAAACGTTAAGAAAGTCTTTGAAACCCGTCACGTGTTTCTTATTCTCCAGTTAAACATTTGATAACGGATACAATGCACTCGACACGTGCTCCTGCAATAACCATCTGGTTAAAAAAGACCAGAGTTTTAATTCTTTCAAGTTTAACATATATCGTAAAGAAGTATATTTTAAATCATGAAAGTCATATTTGACCGATGGTCCACCTGAAAACTAAGTGTCCAGCCGCAACGGGTCACTAAGGTGTAAATAAAAACTTGGTTCATGCTGTACATTTTAAAAAAGTTTTATCAGTTTATATAATATATGTGGCGAGTATTTGACGAGTAGGAAATACTCATTCCGTTGTGATTAACAACATATTTTTGATTGAATGTCAGTAACATTGAGTAGCAAGCACCTAACGCAATCAAAATTATAGTATAGTAGGGTAGAGGATAGGATAGGATAGGATCGGATAGGATAGGATAGGATAGGATAGGATGATAGGATAGGATAGGAAAAGAGAGGAAAGGAGAGGAGAGGAGAGGTGATGTGATGTGAGATGAGATAAGATGAGATTGATGTGATGTGATGTGATGTGATGTGATGTGAAGTGATCTGATTTGATGCGATGTAATGTGATGTGATGTGATGAGTTGTGATGATATGATATAATATGATACATGTATTATACTATATAATATTATATTATATTATTAATTCGTATTTTTTAACTAATTTGATTCGTTTAGAGATAGTCACATGTTAAACTATATTTTCGAAGGTAGAGAGAAAACGGCGGATAGCAAAAAGCATATTGCACAGCAAAAAGCATATTGCACGGATATTTATAGAATATCTAAAAACCGATATACTTTGTGACGTCATGTAATGAATTTCATGATATTGTTAAAAGTTTTATAAAAAAAATATCTATGATTGATTATTTGAAGAAAAAAAATCTTTTAGATGTAAAAATAAAGTAAATGAAATAACAATTTATATGTTGTTATTGTCTAGGAGACAATATGATATCTATAAAATTCCAACAAAATCAAAAAATCAATCAGGATCTTGATACAAATATGGTCGGAAATTAATAATATAACAATTATAGCCTATTTATGAGGTCAATACAGGATATATCGACCCAAAGAAGTATATCGACCTCGGACTTCGTCCTCACTCAATATACTTCTTTCAGGTCAATATATCCTTGTATCGACCTCATACAAAGGCTATAATTGTATAATATCACATAGCTCTGGAAATATATCAAAAAAGCACGTTACAGTTAATATTAATTTTATGATATGATATGATATTATAGTATGTTATATTATATCATATAGCTCTGAAAATATATAAGAAAAAACACGTTAGAGTTAATATTGATTGTATTTATTTTTGTAGTGTCGATTGAAATTGTCAAACTTGTCCACAGTCAGGACAATTTTCATGCATGTACTTACCAATTGCAATTTAATCAAACTCATGTTAAAGCTGTTGAAACAAAATGTTAAATTCAAAGTATTTGCAATGTATACAAAAGTATGACATACCTATATTTAAAGTTGGTTGTTGACTAAACATCTAAATACACGTTGAGATACTAAAATATATATTTTAATGACTAAAATAATTTAATTCGAACATTAGTCGGGTTTGTTGTCTTTTCTTGAAAATGTTATTAGATTCGCATTAAAACGACATTTTTTTATAAGTCAATCTCATAGAAACTAAGTTAACTACAACGTAATAATGCTTATGCCCTGCTTAAAAAAAAAAAGAAATTGCAGATTCAATAATTAAGAACAGATATGCATTATTTATTTATAAATGTCAAATTGAACTAATTTCTTTTTTTTACAGTAGACTTTGTACAGAATTGATTCTTTTGGAATTTTTCTCTGAACTTCTCTGATCAAGCTGCATACATATACGAATTATGTTCATGTTGCTTAGTCTTGAGTTTCTTTGACTTATTGAGCAGGAAGAGCCTACCCTTTCGGACACCAAAAGTGTTCATTTGACTAAATCTTTAATTTCCGTTGCCTTTTAAAGCGTACACGGACTTTGTCTTTTTACTGATGGTATAAAACTGGTAATCCAAAGTAGATTTTACTCTAAAAAATTAACATCAGAAGATAGCAACAAAAAACCTGAAGCTATATTTTCAATATTTTGCCATACCACTGTGCAGGTTTATAAACAATCTCTTAGAACATCCAAATTCAACCATCGTCTCAAGTGTATATGATGTTCATTTTACCCATTCGTTTAAATGTGTTTTATATACATGAGTCCACTGTTTTTGATTTAAAAATCAAACTTTATTTCACTCCAAATTCAATACGTGTAGTAAAATGCCTTTTCGAATTCCCCGAAGTAGATATGCTCTATGACATCTATTATGATTATGCTATCTGGATTATACGCCAATACGACACAAACAAAAATACACGAAGATAATAGTACCATGACAGATGTCAAAGCTCGTTCATAATAGTATACAACTCCTAGAATATGTCAAGCTTTACTAGATGAGGACAGTTTTTCGAGACTACAAAAGAGCGGCCGTAAACAGTATATTTCGTATGGAAAAACAACTTCCCTGTACCCTAAAATTATTTACATTTATCCTACAAATTCCACTACCGATAGTGTTCCTGACTTAGTACAGGTTCATAAAGTTACAGGTTTGGCGATATTACAAATGTTACTTGTAAACTAATTGATTGACTAGTAACTTTGCTTTTGAGAAATTAAAAACAAAAAAACAAAAAAACATTGCATGTATAGCACAGACATGGACATGATCTTTTTGTGGATATGAAGAGTGAAGCAGCACGCACTATTTTAGATATTTTGAAGACATCTACACATACTGATAAATGACGGGACGTCATTTTTTTCCTGCAGCGGGGAGTATGTGGTAGTGTGTTAATTTGGATATTTTTAATTTTGTATTATACTTTGATATTGTGATACTATATATTTGATGAGTGTTAATTCTAAGTACTTAGTGAGTTAGTTTCTAGTCATGCTCCACTGGTTATGTTCATTGTATGATTTTTTACATGGCTCAGTGAGTTTTGATATATTGGTTATTTGTTTACTCTCTGGGTTTTACTAGTTTGTATTGTGAAACTTTTTCTTCTTTGTGATAATTGGCTAATTTAGTCATATGGTCATTTTGAAGGGAAATTATATTGTTAGGTCAGAATTTACTCATACTTTGAATTGTATAGTTGTGTGTTGTTTGCTTTGATATATTTATATTTGTGGACATCTTTGATTCCATTATCAGGTCAGTTTTCTCTACTTAATATGTCACATTCATACTAAAATACTGATATGAATAGATTGTATAGATGATTTGGTATGAATGGTCAGAATGAATGATTTCAGAGTAAAAGGTGTATAAAATAGATTAAAACATATAAAAGTATATTAAATATTGTTTAAATCAGTTTAACTAAATTGACACAGTCAAACAAATCATTTTGTAAGTATTTAAGCCATAAACAGTAAAATTATATGAATTACTCAGTTTAGTGAAAAGAAGTAATAGTAAAGATATAAAATAGTAATTTGTATGTTAAGACATATTTTAAACTATTAAATGATTTGATAATTTGATACGTAAACTATAAACACAAATAGTTATGATAATATTTTTATTACAGATATTTGAACCATACTGTTCGTATATCATGTAGAAGATTCCATATTGTAAATACAGGACCTATGTACCTCATACATGGTAGGTTGTGTATTCTGTTTATATGTGTGTTTTTGTGCTTAACATTTGTCTTGAGCATGGCTATAATATTTGTTTTAATAAGCTTATTGTGTTATGTTACTGTACGCTTTGCTTTGTGTGTACTAATTCAATGTTGTTAGTAATTTGAATGGAATGACCCATAAATGACTATCAGAAGAATATTTGGTAGAATACAATATGTTAAATGTTAAGATGTGTAATTTATGATGAGAACAATATTTCTCATGATTAACATTCTATGTAAATAGATTTGTAAGTAAATAACATGGAAAACCATAGTTGTCCAGTAGGAAGTATTTGAGTATTGTATTTTAGGTATTGTCACCTAGAATGAATAGAGTTATCTTTCTTTGTATTTATTATTTGTATTTGTATTGCAGGGTCATTTCTTATATTACACAATAAAACGAATCCATTGATCCTGAGGTGTTTATTTTATTATACGACCAAAACAACCTGGTTACACAGACGTGAGATAAAACAAGTTAGAACTACGGATACATCAGCATTTCAGACAGCAAAAAGACAGATAAAGCAAACATGATGCTAAATTTTAGCGAAAACTAGAAACATCATAGGCAAAACAAATTTATCAAATATCATTAATCGATTAAGAAGACAACTCAAGGTAATAAACACAAACTAAGGGATTTGTATGAACTCCCAAAGGAGCAGGATCGGCTATGTCAAAAGGATAAGCATCCACTGGTGTGCATTCATCATCTGTCATGCGATTCCACCGTGGTCGAAATATCACAATCCGGAACAGGGTACAATAGGTAAAATACAAATTAGACATACATTTTGGTATCTAAAGATCCAAGACTGCGAAAATAAGCCGGAAGTGAGTTGAAACACAGACATATCGTATCGGTCAACCAATTGTTGATGGTGATTGTTAAACTGATGTAGAGTCTATTTCAGTCGTTATTCCTCATAACTCAAATGGAGCAGTTTAGTGCAAGGAACACATCACTGCTAATGAATTCCACAAAATGTGAATATGCACGAGCGTAAGGTTTCAATTAAGATATGCAAACGCCATACGATGGAGATAGTATGATACTGCTGAATAATGGAAATTTGACAATTGGAAGGTTGAAATCATCTCGAGTGTCATATATTCTAGCTTAAAGTCGTCTATGTGTGTCAAGATATAGTAAAAGATAATGTACCGATGTTCAAATCTTGTAATTCCACTATGAATTTACACAATTTAATGAAGAAAAACAAAACACGAAAACAGACTAAATAGAAAATGTATAATGTAAATCGTTACAATATATAAAAAAAATATCACAGACTTCTTGATACATAATTATAGATAAAATTATCATAGATGCAAGGATTTAAGTTGGGGAATACAGATCTTAAATGGCATTTTTATATACATATAATATTTTTTTCTCTAATTCTTCGTCGATCTCTCCTCTCGGGACCTCTTGATTATTTGTGTTTAATCAAGGCATGATTCGTTTGATCTCAGTTCTTAATTAGTCAGACTTCAATAATGACCTCATTTTTTTTGTTTGCTCTCCTCTGAATTTTGTATTATGACGTCTTCAAAAATTGCAAACATGTCCGATGACGTTACATAGAAAGAACAAATCTTTTCGCACATCATTGAAAAAAAGGATTAAATTGTCTGCATATCGTCTAAAAATCATGAGCGAAACAGATTTTGCCACAAAATCTCGTGCAATACGATATTTCTCCAATCTCGACAGCTAATAATAAGTAACTGTCTCGAGTAGAAAAATATCGTATCACACTCGACGCAGGGTAGAATATATATTTATCAGTCAAGTTAAAACGTCTTTCTTCAAGTCTGACAATGGCTGAGATTATTTTACTACATGTATATCATATTTAAAAAGACACAGACTATTAAATACTAGACTGAAAAGAAATAATGAAATGCTAAAAAACAAATGCAATCGTACAACAGTGTTACGCCGTAATAAATAGCATTGCCAGATATGATAAACTAATGAAAGACATCTGTTGTTTACAATGCAATTCATTTAAACGGTCATCATATGCCCACTTAGCAAACACAAAGTTAAACAAATTTACCCTAACCTTTCGCATTGTCTTTGAAATTGTATGCCTGGCCTTTTATGTCTTGGTTGCAAATGTCTTTATTTCTAATCTTGCTAATACCAATACCTTTTCGCCAGCAAAAAGGCAGTGAGGAACAGTACAATTGATTTCGAATGTCTGATAGATGAGTTGTGATTTCCTGCTGCAAAAGAAATAAAAGTTATAATACTATCTGAGGAATCCTTTTAGGATGAGTTCTTATCAATGTTAAAACTATCTACCCAAACAATGGTTTATACAACGCAAGTGCAGTGAAATTGAAAATCGAAAAACATTCTTACTCTCCAATTTCAATGATTGCCTTCCGGTAGAATGTCTTAATAAAAGTTTTTATATTCAGTATGAACATTTGGTTTCACACAAGTGTTCCTTATCAATCGATATTTACAATTGTTCCAACTTTAGGAAGCAGTCAGTCAACACTGGTAAAGGATGATAAGAATAATGTTTGTTACTGTACATTCTTATCACTAACAAACTTATACTTGAAAGGAGCTAACGCATTTTTATCCGATGATACCTTTAAAGAGATGAATTCTAACTGAAACTTAGTAAATAATTTTAATTTAGCCTATTGGTATTGTGAAAGGAAATTCACTGCAATGTTTTGATAATTCAAAGTTGTTATCATATTTGTATTTTTATGAGTAACTTTACAAAACAGTGTTTTATTATGAAGTATAGTCATATCATCATGATCATCAATAATCTTCAACTTCGTACTTTATTTGGCCTTTTGACGTTTTTGATTCGAGCGTCATTGGTTAATTATCGATAACAATAAATCATATGTGACAGTCACACAGAAAATAACACTTTATGCTATCTTATTACCGTTATATATTTTGTTGTGACTTCCCCAACTTGAAATACCTCTCCAATCGATTTCCAAAGTATCTTTATAAACACCTTTCATGGTATTAATTTCACATTTGTACCTTCCGTTGTCGTTAAGCTGGATCCTAGTTGAATTAAAATTTAAAACTAGTTTAGCTATGACTAAATCTGATCCAACATTGTTAGATCTTGATTTCAGATCCGTGCAGGGGAACCACTTTGTTTGATTCTCTTTGCCATGTTTATGAACATCTACAATATCACAATAACTACCATTTATTTCTTTTGATAACTTAATCCAATAGACTTCATTATGTTCATAATCAGCAAGTTGACAACTAAGTGAATGATCAATGTTTGAAAACTTAATAGTTTTATTGTCCGATCCTGTGCTGACACCAGCATCTGCTTTATCTACAAGAAAAACAACATAATTGGAATAAAAAATTGAAAAATAAACATAATCTAAGATGAAGTTATTTGTATTTTCAGTCAATTTATTTATCAAAACTTAAATACTTGTTTACTGATAAGGGTATGGATGGAAATACTGACAACTAAGTCTCACGTTGTATAGAAATTATGCAATGTCTACCATTTTCAAGTTAATTTTTATTTGTTTTTGTTCTACTAATAACTAATGAATCCTGAGTCGTGAGTTATTACTTATTGGGGCATATAAACTTAGTTGAATGCGCTTCCGCGCTTCATACAAAATGAGCTTCGTTCAACACCTGTACACCTCAATGAAATCACAAAGCGAGCCATTCGATTCTTAAATAAGATTAGATTAGGTGCGTGGTAAAATTATTACTATTTTCAGCTTCAAAAGCAACAAAAGCATCAAAATATGGTTTTTCTTCGAAAAGAAAATATGGGTAGATGTATATTTTTAGTAAAACTTTATCCACTGAAAATATTCTACACACAGCTAAGCTTTTATGTATTTTGAACTTACTTGTAAAAAATGCGTCTATTGTAATAATCAACACAAAACTCATGCCATGGAAATTCATGAATAGTAAGGAGGAAACGATCTGGTGCTTTGGACGAAATTGTATCCTAAGTAAAAAATAACAGGTGTGACACAGGTATATTTTGGTCTGGAAATCCATAGCGCACGGGTCTATAATTAGATTTAAAATTTTCAATTTAAAAATAGAGCACAAAATTCTTTAAATGTTGATATCTCCAAGAGATACATATATCGTAATATTACACAATTATATAAATGACATGAGAAAAAGGTTTCCTATTTATGTAATTAAACATTCCATATTGTTTAATATGCTAATATTAAAAAAAACGATTTGGTTTGATCTTAGAATATTTCCAACAAGAAATGCTATTAAAAAATTTGTCCTTGAACAGCTTGTACACATACTATAGTTTGGTTCATTTAAACGTAAAAATAGATTTTGAAGGATAACAAATAAACAACCGGTTAACATAATTTCTTTTTCATTTCAGCACAGTTATCGATCGATTATTAGTTGCAATATTTTGAAATATATTGAATGATAAGAAAATGTGTAAAGTCACACGATGTTGATTACTGGACTTTCGATGACTATTTGATATAGAATTAAAAAATATTCTTTTCATAAATTATTTTGTTAACTGTAATAACGATTTAACATATGACTTTCTCTAAATTTGATGGTGTGTTTTACCATGTACCTTTTGAAGTTCCGCAAATAAAATAGGTTAAATTTTCGTAAATAAGCTGTTGAACTCTGTCACGTATCAATATTCATGTTCTTACCATACTAACCAGTTCGTATTTTCAATTTGAAAATATTTGAACATTCTTCAATACTTCGTTAGTTTAAACATATTTTATTTGTTCAAGTACAAATTGGATAAGACACAAGTCAAACAGACTTATGAAGTCTTCTCCATTCAACATTTATAGCAATATAATACAAAATATATGTATGAGCATGCATGTATAGAATGGTATATCTATTTAATATATATATATATATATATGGATTTATGTCAAAAGACAGAAAAGTGAAGACAGAAAGAAAACAATAATACAGAAAAAATAAATAAATGAATATTTAGAAAACAGAAACAAAAAATAAAATACAAATCAAACAAAAAAAAAAAGAAAAAAAAAGGAAGACTTTTACTTAGATGATGATGTGTGTGCGATCATGGTTTGCTATCTAGACAATTAGAAATCTTTCCGAACTTTTAATAAACTCGAAAACATTTTTGAAAATGGTTTGGTTTTGCTCTAGAGAAAGAAGACAACTACCCGAGGTTAGTAGTTCTATGTTAATTTTACAATCTTTTGGAAGCCAGCGCAGACTTTCAAACATTTTATTTCGTATGTCTGAATATAATATACATTTAAAAAAGAAATGATAGGAATCTTCACGATTAACACCACAGCGGCAAGAAGGGTCAGAAATAATATTGACCCTATATAGATCATAGTTTAAGGATGATGCAAAACATCGAAGTTGGGTTAGAATAATATTCAGTTTTCGAATTCCAAACTCATATTGCTTCTGTACAAATATGTTACTCTGAGGATAAAGTTTTTTTAGTTCAGTTTTAAATTTATTTATTGATTCCGCATCACGAGTTGAATCATCAAGATTATTCCAAAGACGTATGGTTGATGGAATAAATGAATCATTAGTCAATGCTAGTCTGCAGAATGGAATAACGATGTCATTTCCATTGCGTAGAGGATAGACCGTCATACTTTGGATTTTTGGGGGAATTAAATTTGTCAAATATTCTGGAACATTATTTTTTTGAATATTATAAAACATTTGAATTTTTCTTCTCTCTCTTCTTTCAGCTAATGTTTCCCATCCAAGTTCTTCATAAATAACCCTTGAGCTTGTGAATATAGGTAACCCCGTAACTATTCTAGCAGCTTGGAGTTGTAATTGTTCCAGTTTATTGATATAACCTACCCCAATGTTATCCCAAACTTCACTGGCATACTCAAATAAAGGTCTTATAAAAACTAAATATAGTTTTTCTAAATTTTTTCTGCTCAGTTTATATTTCAACTTCCTTAGCATATTTATATGTTTAGATGTGCTTAAGATAATATTATCAACGTGGACATTCCATTTAGCATCATTGCTAAATGTAACCCCTAAATGTTTATGAATATTTGTAATAGGTATATTTTTATCATTGAATATAAAGTTCATTTCTGGGATTTCAACATTAGAAAATAACATAATTTCTGTTTTATCTGGATTAAAAGACATTAACCATTTTTTGGACCATTCGTTCAGCTTTTCCAGATCATGGTTTATCACAGTTTCTATCTGCAATGCATCACGATCCGCACAGCTGAACGACGTGTCATCTGCAAAGAGTCTGCACAGAGAAATAAGGCTTTCTGCAATATCATTAATATATATTATAAAAAGTAATGGTCCAAGGACCGACCCTTGAGGGACACCAGCTGAAATACTGCAAAGTTTTGAAGAAGATTGCTTGATAACCACTCTTTGTTTTCTATCACTTAGGTAGCTTCTAAACCATTTTAACAGATTTCCATTTATACCATAAGCCTTCATTTTATGTAATAAACCATCATGCCAAACTTTATCAAAGGCTTTGGAGAAATCGCAAAAAACAAAACAACTTATCTCTTTCTTTTCAAGTGAGTTCAATATGCAATTATATATTTCTAACAGTTGGTGAACCGTTGAACATTTAGGAAGAAAACCCGATTGATACTCATAAATTAACTTATTTCTTTGTAAGTGGTTGTAAACATATTTATATATAACACGTTCCATGACTTTGCCTATGCAACTAATGAGTGATATAGGTCTATAATTGGAAGGTAATGAACTATCCCCCTTTTTAAATAAGGCTATAACATTTGAAATTTTCCAGCTGGATGGATACTTGCACTGCTGCAAGGATTTATTAAATATTATACATAATGGAATTGCAATTTTTTCGGGACAAATTTTAAGCATCTTATGACTAATGACATCCGGGCCTGACGCTTTTTTAGGATTTATAGTTTTTATAATGTCAACAATTTCACTAGTACTAATCTCTATATCATTCAATAAATTGTTAGTTTTTTTGTCGAAATCGGGTAATTGAGCATCAACTTCTGCTAGCGATGAAATAAAACAAAAATACTTATTGAGAATGTCGCATTTCTCGTCGTCTCCATCGGCGAACTCCTCGAAACGTTCATCATTAAGAATATTTTTTAATGGGGGTATGTTATTAGAACCTCTATTTGGTTTAATCAGCATCTTCATTATTTTCCAATAAGTCTTAGAATCGGAAGCGTTATCTAGTATAATATTTTCTAAGTTTTTCTCAAAATTTTCTTTCGCTTCTTTCTTCATATTATTCACTTTATTCCTTTGTTTCTTATATTTATTAATATCCGTTTCTTTTTTAGATTTAATTGATTTTTTTCGTAATCTATCCCTTATTCGAATTGCTTTTCTGATATTACTGTTAAACCAGTGTTTATCATTGCCACGTATAGTTACTGTTTTGGTTGGAATGCTCTCTCTTGCAATGTTGAGGATTTTTTCAGTGAATATAGTGACCATTTCGTCTACTTCCTCAACACTGTAAAAGAGCTCATTCCATTCAACTGCATTCAACATATTTGAAAACTTATCAACATCTGTTTTTTCATACAACCATATTTCCCGTTTAAACGACTTTGTTACGGACTTTGGACATTGTAAAAAAATAACAGAGGCATCGTGATCACTGATATCAGCAGGTACATTCAGTACATCAGAAAAAGAAAATTGTATAGCATCACTTAATATGATCGGATCAAGCAAAGTACTACTGTGATCAGTTACCCTTGTAGGTTTATTAATTACGTTTTTTAAATTAAATTGATGAATCGTATCATATAACTTATTATTATTATAAGAAAATAAATCGGAATTCAAGTCTCCAGAAATCACAATGTTTTCAGTAAACTGATAACCAAGTTCAATAGCATGATTTAGTCGTGTCCAATATTCAACACCTGACCATTCCGGTCGATAAGTACAACATAATAAAAAAGTTTGACCTTTACCTCTGATCTCCACCCAGATAGTTTCGTCAATGTGGTTTTCGAGTACACCTTTTCTGGTGACTGATAAATCATCTTTTGTATAAATGAGTAAGCCTCCTCCGGCATTATTACGATCTTTACGGAATATATTTTGTGAAAATGAATCTATCATTAATTCTTCGTTATTTATATTTGGATCTAAGTGTGTTTCAGTGACTGTTACAATATCAAACTCTTCTGCAAAATTTTGAATGAACTCAATCTTATTTCGTAAACTACGAATGTTAATATTGCATATTGATATGGAGTTATCAGTTTCACGAGAAAAAACGTTTTCATGTTCATTTGGACCGGGATTTTGTTCAACGCTTCCAATTATAAGGATGAAGTGTAACACAAATAGAAGGAATAAAACATTTATATTTGGATCAAGGCTCTGAAGAAGCGACAAGGAGACGACGAGAAATGAACAACGACAATTGGTAAATAGAATTTCCGAAAAAGGTTCTCCTTTGTAACAAAAATTATCTGATCCGGAAAAATGAAATTTACATGAATTGAATAACCCTATGGCTACCCTGTATTGTTCAATACAATTACCCGTTAGGTAAAAGTACAACAAATAAAAACAATTTAAAAGACAGGTTGCCATTCAGGTTACACAAAAATAGTAGATCACACACATCATCATCCAAAGTCATACAGGTATTAAAGATATATACACAAAGAAAAAAAAAGTACATTGTAAAAAATAATAAACTGGAGGAAAGCATTTTCGAGTCATAGAATGGGAAAATTATTTCACAACAAAATTTCAATTGCGGGATTTTTTTTTTATACACAACTGTTCACTACTTTATGTTTTTATCTATAGCAAATCTTTTTTGATGTAGCTTTTGATTTTGGTTTTTTGGTCAAAGCTTTTAAATATATAAGCAGGGGTGTTCCGTAGCTGCACATGTATGAAATATACATATAACATCTGATAGCATGACTTGAAATTGATTTCTTACAACTATGATAAACTCAATTGTAATATTTGAAAGCAGTAAAT